CCCCGAAAGTCAGCAAACTAAAGAGTTTAAATCCACATGAGTTTCTCTACACACAGAGCATAACATCGAAACGTTCTTTGAAGTAGGCCCAAAAAAGTTTGAGGAGTCTTTGCTTCAGTGCTTCAGGCTGGTTGAAGTTTACCCAATGTGGAAGACGGTTGGCCAATTTCGGTGTTCGATGCCAAAGGTTTTTGGAATTTTTCAATAGACAAAAGTTTTTGGAAATTTTCAGTGTATTCTCAACATTTAATAGTGCGGCGTTGCGAGAAGAATAAGGATTGTTTGTTGGACGTACACGACAAATAATTTGTCCAATCTCAGTCGTGTTTACCCATTAAAACTTTCGATAGGAACAGCAGATCATTCATTTGCATATATAAACTCAAAGGAAGAAGACTTAGAGAGTCAAGACGTTGATAACTTTTGTCTGTAAAACCAAGTATCCAGTTTGATGCACGTCTCTGAACACTTTCTATCACTTTCATCTCATATTTTTGAGCTGAATCTGTGTTGGTTCGGGAAGAACTTTGGATAAATGAGTGGCGATAGCTTATCCAACATGAGTTTTTCTAACAGCTTGGAGATTGCACATATTAGACTTATCGGTCTGTAGTTTGACACGTCTTGCGTGTCACCTTCCTTTAAAATCGGCATTATAACACTAATTTTCCATTTAAGTGGAAACACAGCTTTGTTTGCTATTAGGTTATGATTATCTGCAAAGATATTCGAATGCTGTATATGAGATCAAAAAACCAAGAACAAGAAAAATCAATCAAAGCACAGGTATAAAACTCCAATTTTCAAGAAAATTAGCATATCAGGTCTTGCTAGCATCTCAAAATTCGAACAATCTTAATTAAGACTTAGAGAGTCACACCTTTTAGCCTAATTGTTGTGATAAACTTATTAAATAGTTTCAGGTCATATGTTTCTACGAGGTAGCCGGGGTTGCCTCATATTTCAATGATCCACATTATTGGTGCAAGTTCTCTAAATCACGCCCTTCACCCGAAGAACAGTGACGATCAGGAACTCATCCAACTAGCTGACCAATTGCGAAAATATATCCTCTTAAGAACTGGACTTCATTGTCCCGGTCTTTTCTCCCCAATTTAAGAACTGGACTTTGTTGTCCCGGTCTTATATCCCCTGACTAAGAACTGGACTTTGTTGTCCAGGTCTTAGACTCTATCTCTATCTCTATTACTACTTCGATCTAGTATCTGTTCTATAATTTCATATATGTGAATGTGACACCTACGCGAAATGCAGCAACAGCAACCCACGGTCACTGAAGATGAAGTAGAGCAGACTCACTGCAGCGTGTGTTCAAAGCATCTACGGGGCGGAGGAGCCTGGTGTAGCATATGCGGCTTTGTTCACCTCAAGCACACTCCCCTACCGAGTTCTAAATACTGGAAGCCAGGCTTGATCTGCAACCGCTGCCTACCGGATTCAGTTGTCTTGGCTGATGATATCCCTCCACAGGACTTGACTCTTACTGGTAGCGCGCCCGAGCACCAGTCTAGTGGCCTTTCTCAACTAATGGGAGATCTCAGAATAGAGAACGTCCCTCCCGATTCCGAGGCTTCTACCTATCTCCGCAAGCTGTTCTCTGCTAGAGTCCCCATACTCAAACGTGTCCCGAAAGGAGCAAGAGTCAACTTAGCCTGTCTCTATAGCGAAGTTTTCAACGATATCTCAAAACACCCTGACGAAGTTTCCAATTGGCTGAAGCTTATGAGTATCCCCGCCCACTATCTGAAGGCGACTGACAGAGGAGGGAAAAAACACCGAATAAACCTCACCAGTTCAGTCAACTCAGCTATAAGATCTTTTTCCGGCACAGCTGAGATTCCGGAGCAGCCGAAAAAAAGGCGAAGCCGAAAAAGGAAACAGAGAGTCTCAGGAGAAGGGTCCAAGAGAAAATTGATGATGGCAATATCCGAGGTGCCATACGGATAGCTTCGCGGAATGACACGATGCCTGAAATTACACCCGAAATTGTAAATGAGATGGAAGAAAAACACCCCCGGCACAAGCTCGCCTATGCTGTTCAGGGAAACAAAGAACAAGAATGTATCACTACTGTGGGTTCTACGGTTCACTCTTGTATAAATTCTTTCCCGAACGGCTCAGCCGGTGGGCCTGATAAATTGAGGCCTCAAATTATCAAAGACATGATTGGAATGTGTAACGAAACATCAAACAAACTGAGCGAAGACCTGACCGGGCTCACAAATATCATCTTGAGCGGTGGTGTACCGATTGATATCAGACCTTTCTTTTTCGGGGCAAACTTGTTCGCACTCAAAAAACCTTCCTCCGGCGTTCGGCCCATAGCAGTCGGCAACACACTTCGCAGATTGGCAGCGAAATGTGCGGGCAAAGATCACGAACTATTAGAACAAAGAAAATGTTCATATGGATCTACTCAACTGGGCTTCGGCACCAAAAATGGATGTGAGGCGGCAGTCCATGCCACCCGCAAATTCCTATCTTCTCCAGGCATCAGCGATGAACACGTTATAGTCAAAATTGATTTCGAAAATGCTTTCAACTCAATCTCAAGGCAACACATGCTGGAGAACATTAGCGAAAAGTACCCTCGCCTAAAAAATTTTGCGTTCTCAGCCTATAGCCAACCCTCCTTTCTGCTCTTTGGATCTCATATTCTGAACTCAGATGAAGGAGCTCAACAAGGAGACCCGGAGGGGCCGCCCATGTTCTGTGACACGATTAACGACATGATTCATTCGCTGACTTCTGCTCTTAACTTCTGGTATCTGGACGATGGGAATCTTGCTGATAAGTTCCGGGTAGTTTTCGAGGACTTGAAACTGGTTATAGAGCGCGCTCGTATGCTTGGCCTGAAAGTTAAGCCTTCGAAATGTGAGCTAACTTTCCTAGGTTCACCGAGTGAAGAGCTCAAACTCGAAATACTGCAACTATTCAACACGATCTGCCCTGCTATACAAGAGACTCCATTGGACGACCTATGCATCCTTGGTGCAGGCATGGGGGCTGACTGTGTCCTTGACAAACTGACCAAACGTTCTAAAGATCTTGAGCTACTGAGCGAACGCCTGGTCGAAATCGAGGCACACTCGGCGCTTTTTCTTTTGAAAAACTCGTTCAGTATACCGAAACTGACATTTCTGCTCCGCACGTCGCCGTGCTTCATGCACCCCGACATACTCTCCAACTATGATTCCATTCTGACCTCAACACTAGAAAAAAATCACCAATGTTCAACTTACAGATTCCTCTCGGATCCAAGCCTGCCTGACTGTTAAAATGGGTGGCCTGGGTCTGCCATCTGCGTCATTGCTTGCGACTTCCTGTTTTCTATCCTCCGCGAGCTCTTGCGCTGCTTTGTCAGACCAAATCTCCACTTGTACTGGACCAACAGGCGACGAAGAAACTGCTCTGGAACTCTGGGGTGATACTGCACAAGCACTTCCACCAACTAATAGAAGCACTCAAAAGAATTGGACTTGGCCAGTATTCGAGAACCTAATAACCTCGATGCTTGTGAACTGCTCAAAGACAGACCACAATAGAATAGAAGCTTACTCTGGAAAGATGGCGGGAAGCTGGCAGCAGGCTCTGCCATCATCCAACTTGGGCTTGAAACTCACAGATATCCAACTCCGCATCAGTGTAGCACTGCGTTTGGGCGGCAAAGTGTGCGAACCCCACCAATGCCGATGCGGTAAAGAAGTCTCTGAAGACGGCCACCATGGTTTGGCGTGCAAAATGAGCGCCGGCCGTCATACTCGCCACTCGTTGTTGAATGACATAGTGAAGAGGGGTCTTGCCAGCGCCAACATACACTCGGTATTAGAGTCCCCTGGACTTTGCCGCGCAGATCGGAAAAGGCCAGATGGGCTTACGTCTACACCTTGGTCCAGAGGCCAACCAATGGTATGGGATGCCACGGTCGTGGACGCATTGTGCAGCAGTAGAATTGACTCATTCGAGCCCCTGAAAGCAGCGACTACAGCAGAAGAGACGAAAAGAATGAAATACACTGAAATCATCAACAGAGGCTACTTGTTTCAGCCTGTCGCATTCGAAGTACAAGGAGGCGCAGGACCAGACACCAAACGTTTTCTTTCTAAGCTCGGCAAGCTGATTCAAGATTCCACCAACGAAGCGCGTGCATCTGCCTTCCTTAGACAAAGAATATCAGTTTGCATACAGATGTCTAACGCAGCATGTGTCATCGGAACTCTACGCCCTTAAGCTTCTCTCGATGAAGTTTTTATGATCCTCTAATTCTATGTCACCATGTATCTCACTTTCTGCGATTTCCTTATCTTGCCAACATACGGTCTTTTTATCAGATAGATTTCCCATGTGGTGCTCTCTTTCACTCCCGGTGCTATCTTGGTTTCATGCTTCAGTTGTTGTTTTGCTATTTGAAGTACTTTTTTATTTTATTTGGTAATTAACAATTTCTGAGAAAAAAATCTTAATTAAAAGGGTTTTTCTCCCAATTATTGCAATTGATCTGAAAACAATAGATTTTTGCAATATACCTAGAGCTTATTTATTAGCATAATGATCCCCCCATTCCGCATGCGGCCGCAAAAAGCCAGGTCTGGTCAGAAATTACTCGAACATAGTTGTAATTTTCATTTGTTCTAATCTGTTTCAAAAATTGAACATATTCTAGACTTAAATCTGACTCCGAACAAAAGTTTTCCGCTGAATTTTGATTGAATTGGTCTTAGCATCATTGTTTGTATCGTACAAATTGTCGTGACAGGCCATTTACACACCAAATATTTTATAGATATATTTAAGTACTCGTTAAAATTATATATTGCACCATTTTGGCAATTAGCTTCATTTTGGTTGCATCACATTTACAATAAATTATAAGTAGTTCAATTAACCGACAGTTAATTGTAGCATAACTCAGATGAGTTAAAATTAAAAAAATAACATACACATTACATGCACATTTCATTCTGAGACGAACAGTTCAATCACAGCTTTCCATCCTCTTCTTCATCTTCGTCTTCCATTTTCTCGTACAAGCGAACAACTGTCACACCGTTGCACTCAGCGGTCACTTTCAATCTGCCCTGATCATCTACCTCTCTCGTGCTGGTCGAGACAGGAATCTTATCCTTGTCGTGCGTAGCAACATGAACAAGTTTTCCCTCATCATCTAAGTAGAACTTGGAGTTGAAATTATTTCCATCAGCACGACTCTCCAATACAGCTTCTTCACTACCGAGTGCAAATGGTCCAATTACAAATCTTTTGCGGATGATGTTTTTCGATTTCGTGATTAAAACGTATTTGCCAGATTCTTTGGACGACTCCTTGAATCGAATAATTGGAGTAGCACGGTTCATCATCTGCCTATATAAGAAGCCCACTCCCCAGGCTTTCATGTAGTTGTCCAGGGCACTTGCATCTGGGTCGTGAGTGGTAAACTTCCATGATCCAATGAATTTCTCCATCTTTTAACAGATTGATCAAACACAAATAACCTGAAAAAATTTTTCAAGTAAATTTTATCGAGATAAAATTTGCGGTTTCAAAATTAACAATCTCGAGAAGGCAATCTTTATCATTTCACCCAGTCACAAAACCATTGGAATTTCATGAATTAAAGATAAATTAGCGTGTTACACACCTCCGGTACTCCGAATTTTCTACTTTTCGTAGAAAACCGAATATATTGGAAAGAAGATCTGCATTCTTTGTGTGTACTCTGACAACGACCAATTGAAGAATTCGTAATTACAAATATTGCAAAGGTTTTTATTCAAGTTTTTTATAAAAATTTATAAGAACCAAAAACTTTTGTGAAGTTTTATTTAAGTTCTTTGAAAAAATGTAAAATTAACTAAGAAACGTCACATGTGGTAAAGTAAAGGCAATTGAGCAGTCGAATTTGGACGCAAGATTTGCAACTCCTGAGAGTACTCTTACAAAACCCAACTACAACGTTAGGAAATTCAAACTTTGAGAAACTTCAACCTCAAGCTTTCTTAAAAATGTATCTTTTAAAACCAGAAAAAATGTTCGATCTCAGCAACTACCAAGATTTGAGCAGTCTTATTCGTGGGCAATATTCGCAATCTTTGACAGTACTCTGACAGCAGAAAAATCGTCGTATCTATTAAGCTAAAAGTTTTGGGCATTCTTAATTGGAGGCCGAATTCGCAACCCATGAGATTACTCTGACAGCCTTAACTCATATTTGGAGGAAAAATTCGCAACTCCTTACAGAGTACCCTGTACCCTGATTGAGCCTCACTACAGAGCTCGTAATTTCAAATTTGTGAAACTTTTTATATCTAAGGTCTCTTGAAAAGTTTTGAGAAAATCCTTTAAAACATCATGTCTTGAAAACAAGGATTTGAGCAGCCATTTTCAGAGGCAAGATTTGCAACCCCTGAGAGTACTCTCACAATATCCAACAACAATATTGAGAACTTCAAAGTCTTGGATCTTTTTAGCATCTAAGTTTTTTTTGAAAATTTCTGAGAAATTATTAACGACATATCTCGAAAACTTCAAGTATTTGAGCAGTCGTATTTGGAGGCCAAATTCGCAACACCTGAGATTACATTGACAAAGCCTCACTGCAGAAATGAGAATTTTTGTTAAACTTATATCCAAGTTTCAAGAATTTTAAAATATTAATTCGAACGTTTTCGCACATTTCGTGATTCATCAGGAAAAATTTTTTTTACATTAACAAAACGACCAAAGATCTTTTACTTTTTAGGCATAAGGATTAGGTTTTTGGATGTTCATTAGGTATTAGGTTTTTATGTGATAGTGTCGATGTTATTTGTATGTTATATTAGTGTTAGGTTATGCTTCATGTGATGTTTATGTCATGGAAACCTGGAACACTCCAGGTAGAAAAAATGACAATGCACAATCATGTTATTCTGACAAGATCGCAACTGGACGATCCTTCTTGGTGCAGGTTTCTAAACTAAAAACAAAAGAGAGTTTCAATGGACTGTTCTTAAAAATATGTGATCAATGTTTTATCTTAGTGTGCCAGTCGGTCATATTTGGAAGTTTGACCTTGAGAAAAACAAGTACGCTTAATTTTGGAGTGAAATTTGATTTTTCAAAAAATCGAATGGAGCCTGTCATGCACGATTTTCTCGCGACAACTGAAAACCGAAAAAGAGAACAATCGAGTAACAAACGCGGGAAAGTTGCCAGATAAAACAGTGGGAAATTGCTATTCGCAATTTCCGTCACAATAAAACTAGAGTAGAGCTGTCCCATCTGAAACAGAGACAAGCGTATTCCCGAGAACTGGACTATCATTACTCGATTGGATTGTTATTCGAACTGGACTAGAGTGAACCTTCGGTGGAAAGGTGGACAGCTTGAGTGTCCCAATGGTTCACGAGAAACTATATTCTAGAGTTAAAACTTGTCCTTGTTATTGAAACTGATAAACATTAAACTCAGTTAGTTACATTATTTAATTCTCGAGTTGCTGACCGACTTAATTACTCCCAGTTCTTGAGCGTGCTACGATGTGAGTACTTAATTTAAATTTCTAAGTGTGTTTTATGATTGTTATGTTGAGGTAAGGCGAGTTTTAGGTTGATCCATCTGAAATGGATCAAAGTTCCACTGTCTAATAAAAAGTAACTTAACGGATTGTTCTGACCCGGTTTTTAACGGCGTTCATGTATTTTGGGTATCTAGAGACCTAAGTATGGGGACGTTCTTATTTCTAGAGTGGGGGGATATTTTGGTAGTAGCCTTTAAGCTGTAACGGGTCGTAGTCTCATGTCACAAGCGAACCGAATTGGCTCCGACTGATTTGAGGTAGAAAAACACAAGAGATAGTGTCCCTGACTCTTGAGCCAATGGTTATAGGGCCTATTTTTCTTAAGCCTCATGTGTGACTACAGTAGACGAATGTTACATAGTGTTTTTATGGCGCTCCTGGGTGTTTACGACATCAAGACTACGGAGTCGAACCCACTTGAGACAGCTTCGGGCTGCATGCCCATTCTAGAGTACCGGTGGTACGGTTCGGCAGGAACGTGCAAACCTTCCGGTTGTACCGTGATAGCTTTTTAAGAAAACTCGAGAAAACTTCCTGGTACGCTCTCCGAACGAGGCTTAGCTAACCGAGTAAAAGGGGGCAACTAGGGGGACAAAAACACGAGCAAAAAGACAAAAAGCGAAATAAAAACCAGAAAAGAATAGAAAAAGGAACAAAAAACCATTAAAAAAAAGACAGTGACTTTGACACCAGATTAGTTGGATCAAACCTTTATATTAATTAAATAGTATACCCATACTGTTTTAAAAGTTCGATCGTTTCGATCAACCTAGCAATTTAACCCAGTAACCTCAATAAAGTGCCCGAGTGTGGGGCGTTGTCAAGGGTTTTTAGATAGCTTGGAACTTAGCTGGACAACAAGGAGACTTGACTGGAAGAGGTGACCAGCCGAGTGGGAAAGTGGTTCAGGAGCACTTGAGCTGAACCAATAGGAGACTTGACTGGAAGAGGTGACCAGCCGAGTGGGAAAGTGGTTCAGGAGCACTTGAGCTGAACCAATAGGAGACTGGACTGGAAAAGGTGACCAGTCGAGTGGGAAAGTAGCCAAGAAGGATTTGGCAGTTCTCGAGTTCTCAAGTTGGGCAGAACGGGTATCGTTAAAATTCACATTACATTATAGGAAATAAGTGTAAAATTGGATAAGCGATATCCCCCGGTTTTGAGGAACGTTTTTACTTGAGCAGGCCTGGAGACAGGTCTACGGTTTTCTCTTGAGAGGTTTAGCACCCGGCGCTTAAGGTAATTTTAGGCTTAAGAAGGGGGGCTAAAAAGGGGGGGAGGTTAGAAGGGGGGCTGGTTAAGTTAGAGGTTGGCGGTTATAATTTGTAAAAAGGGGGGACACATTAGAGTAACTAATAGCTCGGCATCGTCGACTTAGTTACATTAGATATTTACACGCGTTGGTCATAGGAAGCGGATATCCAAAATTAGAATCAGGTTAAGGTAGGTACCCTGGTCAGATCGGTAGGGGGGAACGGACATAGACAGTTTTTGTGATACCCCATAAGATCGCTAGCAGGGGGGAAGAAAACGCGTGCCAATTAGGTACCAGACATTTTTTCGATAGAAGGTAGACTTTTGTCACCTTTGAATTTTAGGTGGGTTCATCTCGTTGTTTTTATTATTTTTTCTTGCTTAGATTTTTGTTGCATTTTGGTAAAGATTTGTGTTTGGTTTTTATACGAACAGGTGATCACAAGATACCTGCGCACAGGTTTTGGTTTCAAGTTGCTTGGAACATTGAAAAAGAGGTAACTAAAAAAAAGTGGGGTCAGCATTTGGCCACTAAGAGAGGGTTTTTGGGAAAATTTTACTAGAGCTTGAGTGGTGGTGCAAGGTACAGCGAATCAAGAAGTCCCTAAAACGAAGAAGAAAGAGGTCCCACCGCTCAAACACTTGTTAAAAGTCTTGGGACAGTGCCAAAGAAGTCTTGGGACAGTGCAGTCTGGGGGCAGTCTTGGGACAGTGCAGTCCTGGGATAGTCTTGGACCAGAGCAGTCTTGGTACAGTCTTGGGACAGTACAGCCTTGAGACAATACAGTCTTGGGACGCTACGGTCTTGGGACAGTGGTCTTGGGATAGTGGTCTTGGGACAGTGGTCTTGGGAGACTAGTCTTGGGACAGTGGTCTTGGGACAGTGGTCTTGGGACAGTGGTCTTGGGATAGTGGTCTTGGGACAGTGGTCTTGGGACACTAGTCTTGGGACAGTGGTCTTGGGACAGTGGTCTTGGGATAGTGGTCTTAGGACAGTGGTCTTGGGACACTAGCCTTGGGACAGGTCTTGGGACAGTGGTCTTGGGACAGTGGTCTTGGGACAGTGGTCTTGGGACAGTAGTCTTGGGACAGTGGGCTTGGGACAGTGGTCTTGGGACAGTGGTCTTGGGATAGTGGTCTTGGGACAGTGGTCTTGGGACACTAGCCTTGGGACACTAGTCTTGGGATAGTAGCCTTGGGACACCAGCCTTGGGACAGTAGTCTTGGGATAGTAGCCTTGGGACACTAGTCCTGGGATAGTAGCCTTGGGACACTAGTCTTGGGATAGTAGTCTTGGGACACTAGCCTTGGGACACTAGTCTTGGGATAGTAGTCTTGGGACACTAGCCTTGGGACACTAGTCTTGGGACAGTAGTCTTGGGACACTGACAAAAAGTACTGGGACAGTACCGAACAGTCTTGGGAGAGTAAAAAGAAAGCCTGGGACGGTACAAAGAAGAGTAGGGACAGTAACTGGAAGTCTTGGGACGGTATAAAAATTGAAGTAAAATTACAATAAGTGTTTTGAGACAGAACAATACTAGTCGGAACTCGGTACGGTTGAAACCACAAATAAAGAAAGTTACTCGAAAGGTTGTGAAAGAGAACTGGGAACAAGGTTTTTATCACGTTGTATATTTCCTTTTAAGA